ATTGTTTCATAAAAAATGGTATTTACAAATAATACTGATTAATATTTATATATCCAGTTGAATGAGTTGGTCTCAATAGGACGAACCCAGTCAGCAGGAAACGAGACTGCCGTGTAATCAATGTTTTGACTTGCCAGTTCTGAGAAGCCTTAAGATGGCTGGTGACATAGATATTCAAAATCACCAATCAAGACAACGAATTAGGCTTCAGTCCTTAAAACAGATATACTAAAATGGAATAACCTGTCTACCCTTAAAACAAGAATGAAGTGACCCTATAACCGGATTAAGATATGAGAGTTATACCTGACATGAAGATAGACAGACAACTACTTAGAACACTTGTTGTAAATAAGCTGTAGTCTGTTGAATAACCCTATACACCTTTATACAATATTTTAAGATGCTTTGCTAAAAGATCAAAGGCGCCGACAGTACTTTATCAGGCGATAATGTGCACTTTTTGCATTACGTCACACTGTATTGAGATCACTACGCCATTCTCGTCTGCCCCCTTGTAATCAAACGTACCCTTGGTAACCGACGTCACGATGCATGCCACTGTCTCCTACAGTAAACTACTCCGTAGCACCCCGTTTCTTGGTTTGTAGTTGACTTCACTTGGCTAACATCATTGGTGGAAACATTACGTTTAACCTTTTTGGGCGGATACATGTCTCAACTCGAGTCACAATTGAACAGCGAAACGGCAATGTTCGCTGACTGAGCCTATGTCCACAGTCCCACAAACATCCGTGGAATATCGCGTGAACTTCATCTGGATTTACTGTTCAAACCTTACGTTGGTAGAAGAAGAGCGACGTTCACATTGTCCAATGTACCATTCCTGCAATGTATGCATGGCTTTTGTTGTCGACCCTCTTTACTGCAAGACGACAATGCTAGGCCTCATAGGGCCAGGATTGTCACGGAAGTCCTTAGGCAGCAGGGTGTGGAGCGGATGGAGTGGACAGCATGCTCGCCAGAGTTCAACCCTGAGCATGCCTGGGATGAACTCGGTCGAGGACTCCGCAGAGCTCTAGTAGAGGAATGGAATGCGATTCCGCAAACTTTATGTATGAACTTGATAAGGATCAGGAGAACAAGGTGCACCTGTACTGCGGGGTAGTGTGTGTGTGTGTGTGTGTGTGTGTGTGTGTGTGTGTGTGTGTGTGTGTGTGTGTGTGTGTGTGTGTGTGTGTGTGTGTGTGTGTGTGTGTGTGTGTGTGTGTGTGTGTGTGTGTGTGTGTGTGGATGGGTGCTGTACATGTGCTATATATCATTTGGCCCATTATGAATGACGCCTGGGGGTGGGGCAGTAATCATCCTCACAACCACGTTTCCAACCCCAAACCCCTTACAGTTTCATGGCGTCAGAAGTGGGATATCTTTTTTGTATAAATAATAAACCTTCACTTTGAAGTAAATTCAAAATGTATCGCGCACACAAATACACAGGTTCGAGTTCTGCGGTAAATTTCCTGTTTCTTGATACCATCCACTATTATCTTAGGCAAAGCTGGAGTGCTGAAAATGACCTTTATAAATTGACTACATCGTATATGTCGCCATTGTTTGATACATTACAAAATTGCGATTCACAGACTGATTTGGTGCATGTTGTGAAATGTAAAAATCGATTAATTACTCGGAGTACTGAATTTCCAAAATAGTTTATTAATGATTACTGATATCAGTTTTTTTTTATCAAATCACAATTGATATTTCGCAATTCTTAAACGTTGCCAATAAGCCTGGAGTAGATTGAGACGTTCTGGAAAATACATGAACACGAACGCGGAAGTGAGCTTTCCGCCATATTGCATAGTATTTACAAAATCACGTTTCGCGAAGGCCGGTCATGAGACGCCTATTACATCACGTATATTTCATATTCAGCTGCGACAATTACATCACTGAATTTAAGAAATACAGTTCGCTCTACCCCCGTGTATTTCTTTTCTAAGATGCCAAATATAATACACACAGGAATAATCTAGGCAGAAAACAAACAGAAAAACAATCCTCGTTCAGGGCTAACTGACGGGCTCTTCCAATGACGTGTCTGGGCCCCTGCGTTAAGACGCACGTTGCCGTGAAAACAAATGATAAACAGTTTGAAGACGGTTTATGTTCGGGTAAATATACTCTCTATACTATTTTAGCTGTGATTATCGTAAACCAGTTGCTCAGGGTTGAACTCTGGCGAGCATGCTGTCCACTCCATCCGCTCTACACCCTGCTGCCTAAGGACTTCCGTGACAATCCTGGCCCTATGAGGCCTAGCATTGTCGTCTTGCAGTAAAGAGGGTCGACAACAAAAGCCATGCATACATTGCAGGAATGGTACATTGGACAATGTGAACGTCGCTCTTCTTCTACCAACGTAAGGTTTGAACAGTAAATCCAGATGAAGTTCACGCGATATTCCACGGATGTTTGTGGAACTGTGGACATAGGCTCAGTCAGCGAACATTGCCGTTTCGCTGTTTAATTGTGATTCGAGTTGAGACATGTATCCGTCGAAAAAAGTTAAACGTAATGTTTACACCAATGATGTTAGTCGAGTGAAGTCAACTACAAATCATGAAACGGGGTACAACGGAGTAGTTTAATGTACGAGGCTGTGCGAGGCGATGACAACTTACATGCATCGTGACGTCGGTTACCAAGGGTACGTTTGATTACAAGGGGGCAGACGAGAATGGCGTAGTGACGTCAATACGGTGTGACGTCATGCAAAAAAAGTGTACTTTATTGCCTGTTAAAGTACTGTCGGCGCCTTTGATCTCTTTGCGAAGCATCTTTGAATTGAGAAATACAGAGTATTGTTCTTGGTTTGCGTGTTTATAATGAACTGATATATCTTTTTCTTTATCCCGACCAGACGATGGTCTGATGCTTGATCTACCAAGCATATACAGGTACATGTATGGGTATACTGGTAAATACATTTTAGAATCAAATTGCAAAATTGATCTTTGTCACCAATACCAAGTGTCTAGATGAAATCAAACGCAACATGATTGAGTGTGAAAGGAACGCTGTGCTCGTAAGGCAGCTCTTATTTGAAATGTAAACAATGAAAAATTAAGATTTTACACTGTGTAGCAAACTGTTCTCAAATTTTCAGACATTGATTTGTCTGCTCGTAGCATGCATTAGCTCAATAATTTTAAAATATGCACAGAAAGAGTGCCGTAGCGATAACTAGAAAATTAACAGAAATAATACAGTAATTTGATATACATGTATTCATACGAAACTGTCAGTTTCTGTGCAGCTAGAACACGCAGCTAGTCAGAATGATTCGGAGTACCTACGTCACATATTTATGTACAAACGATCCCAAGATGAAGGGAAGGACCCTCACAAAATCCTGCGTACCGATGTCAGCGAGCCCGCCAGCGAACAACATTGTTGACAATGTACATATTTCTTTCAGGTTAAAGTCAGTTGAATGAGAGTATACGGAATACTCCGATCCTGCCGCTTACAGTTTCAATATTATGATCTATATTTTCATTATCTACATTTTCCATGCACAATATCAAATTATACGCAGATGATGGCTGTACGTTCTGTCTATTCTTTGAAAGTTATTCTTTGCTTAAACACTAAATAAGAAATTGACACATATAGCGTAGATCACCATATTCTTAATCTTTACACATGTTAGACGATGAAACGTAGGCATAACTGGAACATGTTCGTAGTTCTTGTCATCTGTCTATTCAATGTCGTTAAGGGTAAATGAACATGTAGCGATTTCATTCAATCTTATAAGTAAAGCTGGCTATAGTATATAATTAAGAAAGCAATTAATACTTTTTAATTTATTGTATATGCATATATATACTATTCACAAAAAGAAACGCATTACCCAGAAATCTGTTGCGAAAATGTTGTATTTTCAAACATGTATAACTCGTCCACAAATAGACTTTAGGAAATGAATTTTTGCATCAATTTAGAAGAAGGAAATGTCTATACAACCAAGTGGATAATTTTAGATAACGGAGACGTTGAGCGCCATGGTGACGACGTAGCATGGGCCCGACGTCGGATCTCTTGGCTCTCAGTCCAATCTCTCTAAACCTGTTCCGTACAGTTGGACCGGATATCCTGGGAAGTCCAGGCACCCTGGCTGCTGTGCTCTCACCCGTGGCAGTACGATCATGCAAATGTAGTTCCTGGATGTACCGAACTTGGGTTACAGTGGTGACTCGAGGCCTGCCTGTACGGGGACGGTCATTTGTTATACACGAGATCCAACACTATCTTGATACTGGCGTCTCAGAGGAGTGGTACACGTGGTACACACGACCAAACACTACCATGATACTGATATCACATGTCCCACATAATACCACACTCAACCTCGACATTGCTATCTTGCATAATATGAGCATATGAGTTCAAATGTCTTACGATAACGTTCTACGAAGCTTATCGACAAGCAGCTGGATATATGCCTTTTAAACACTTTCTATCATGTAATATGCCACTAACAGGGTCAGAGGTAATAGATTGAGTGGCAATATGTCAATCACTCAGTCACCCCGAGGTCACCTTATCTCAATAAATCACTTCCTGGTTGGTATTCGGAGCGAACTCGGGTAAGTTCGTAAACTAGTCTAGTTTTGGATCAACAAGCGCATAACACAGCAAACTGTACTTACACGTAGTGTTGATTAAAGGTTCCGCTAGAACACAGTGAGTGAGTGAGTGAATTTAGTTTTACGCCGCACACAGCAATATTCTAGCTATATGGCGGGGTCTGTAAATAAACGAATCCAGTGATCAACATCATGAGCATCGATCTACGCAATTGGGATACGATGACAAGTGTCAACCAAGTCACCCGATGACCACCCGATCCCGTTAGTCGCCTCTTTCGACAAGCATGGGTTACTGAAGATCATTTCTAACCCGGATCTTCACGGGTTAGAACACAGGGACGAGCTGCTTGTCACAACAGTCTCTTTAGTGAGAAACAAGCCAAAATATTTTTTAAGCCGTTGTATGTTTGGTTAACTTTAAATTTGCTTATGTGTGCAGGTACATTCTCATTATGCACTGAGATAATGTCAAAGTGACTGTTACAGACATTGCCTCAATATATTTGAGAAAGTTCGTCAAATCCGGAAGGCAGTCAATTTTTTTATTGTGTATTAAGTAAATCAATACCATAATTATTAACACGCCATGTAGTAAACAATTCTGTCTTTCATTTGAGCCTAGTGACACGACAGTTCAAAGTTTCTTAGGCAACCTTTACCAATTTTGTAACAAAACTCCACATTTTTTCGGTAAGAAATATTCTTTATGGTCACAACAATAATACAGATTGAAACAAAATGATCTTCTACACCAAGTTTGCAAGCGAAACATTTAAGTGAGGATGACGCTTTTCTAGCCATTGATCTTTGTTTCTTCTGTTTAACAATCCGGCTCTATATTAATAATTAACTAACGGATGTGGTTGTTTGTCTACAGTTTGTTTGTACCTAGAAATTTCGTAATATTTTCAAATTGAAATTAAAAATGTATTAGTACCTCTTTAAGTACCTTAAAGAAAACTACTAAATTCAGTGTTAACACAAACATATATTTGACTCATCATTATTATATCAATAATTATTAGCGAATGAAATATATTTTTGTATGAGTTCATTAGAGAATGTACTTTTATGAATTGATTGTAAAGCTGTATGACCTAGGGATATGCTAACGTTTTCAGTATTGCATTCATGAAACATTTTAAATCAGGATGTTTAATCCCAGAGAACACGAAATCGTTAATGTGTTTACGGATACTGAGACAGGTAGTGTTGTGACTAAAATCAAATGCCGATATGGCAAAGACTAGTGAATATAAAAGGATACGTGTTATCAATACAGTCACATGTCCTTTTGTTTCATTATTGATTGTCGTAATGATATGAAACACAATTCAAACATAATTCTTGAGGGAAAACATCACGCTGCACGTCTGCGGAGATTTGGGCGGTGACGTAGCCCAGTGGGTAAAGCGTTCCTTCGTGACGCCAAAGACCCAGGTTCGATTCCCCACATGGGTACAATGCGTGAAGCTCAATTCTGGTGTCCCCCGCCGTAATATTGCTGGAATATTGCTAAAAGCGGCGTAAAACTTCACCCACTCACTCTGTTGAGATGCTGGGAGATATATCAGACTACGCTCTCATACTCTTTGTTCTTGAACAGTTGAGTCGGAGCAATGTTCAGGATTTGGTTTTGTAGACAAGGGAAACGTGGAATGATCCATCTTGTGTAAAGTCGCACGTGGAAGATATCTGTGTCTGTATGCCTGGGACGATCTCTGGGAGTGATGTTCAGGCGCTGGCGTCAGGTCTGACCAATAGCTTACCGTCGACCCGTCCGTGACATCTGTGATATTCTAAAATCAAATTCGATACATATTGTTAAATGTTTGACAAGCATTATCAAAAATGATTCAGGTGTAACAGTAAGAGTGAGTGAGTGAGTGTATTTAGTTTTACGCCGCTTTTAGCTATATTCCAGCAATATCACGGCGGGGATACATGAAACGGGCTTCACATATTGTACTCGTGTGGGAAATCGAACCCGGGTATTTCTGCGTGACGAGCGAACGCTTTAACCACTAGGCTACCAGTGCATTGTGCAGCAGTATGCACAATTTAGAGAGAGCTACAATAAACACAATGTCGCGGATTCGCTTGGACTTTTTGTCAATTAAAAATGTTGCTTCAGTAAAACGTAAAAGTCTTAACTTGCCATGTTGCAATCGAATTTCACGTAAAAGGCCCCCAATAGACCTTCCGGAAATAGTAAAATTTGAAGGTTGTGATGTGCGACTAATTCATATCAGGTGGCAGGTTGCTGTTATCGTTCGTTTAAAACAGGTATAGTTGTCATGATGTCAGTCCCTGGTTTGCGTGTCCCAGACTGGGCTATTTACAGGCGTTTCACGTTTAGTGTTGGGAATTGGTTAAAATCTCATAATTGATGATTGGTTCATTACAACCTATAAATAATCGAAAATAATTGGTTAGCATCATTTATCAAATTTTCCTGGTTATATTTGTTAATGCACCAAAAATAAAGCATAAACATGTAGTTCTTTCGAGTGGTTTGCAAATTGCACAAAATGAATTTGCAAAGTTTACATCTTTGAAGTGTGACTAGTATGTTAGGACCATAAGATAAATTCAGTACTGACTTGGAACGAGCTTGTAGTGCTTATGAAATGTTACAGACAAAACCAACCTTGTGAAAAATATTGTTAAAGCAAGCAAGTGTTCCAAAGTTGTTTGTGTTCGATTATGAGAAAACATGATCGATTGCTTGGTCGTTTAGTCATCGCGACCAATCTTCGATTATTTCAATTAATCGGGCCACCACTAGTGTTAATACTTATATTACTGTGGCTAGGACAGTATTTCAGGCGCGTATGTACACAGATAATAAAGTTGGAAACGTTTTTCATATTTTATCAAATCGGTTCATGAATTGCGGTGAATGAATTACTGAGTGAGTTTAATCTAACGCTGCTTTTCGCAATATTCCAGCAATATCACGGCACGGGACACCAGAAATAGCCTTCACACATTGTACCCATAGGGAAATAAACCCGGGTCTTACACCTGATGAGCAAACGCTTTAACAAGGCCCTACCGTTCCTGATAATTGGCCCTATCAGATTTGACTTGATGTGGGGAATCGAACCCGGGTCTTCGGCGTGACTAGCGAACACTTTAACCACTAGGCTACTCCCCTCCCGTGTGTGAACTAGATGTATTAAACGCATATTTTAACAGCATTATACAGACGTCGTGTCACTCTGATTTGGGAGAAAAGTCGAAAGGGTTGAGACTTCTGAACGTGGTTAACTCAAGCCTAATAAACCTACAATAAAATGAAGCAGAATAGGGTTAGGATTTGAACCCGGTGACCTGCCACGACTAATGAATTTTGAGATAGGTTTTATAATGGAAACCGCACCTCCTTTTCCGTACACGTTTCTGCTGTTCCTCTCGAATCTTGTGAAATGTGTAAATAACAAAATTGAAGGCGTAGTTTGTGTAGTGAAGCAGCGCTGCGATGCTCCACGCCAGGTAAAGTCTTGCTTGGACAAACCCGTCCCTCTCGGTCCAAGTATATGAGTTGGTAACCATGACAACAGCTGACGGGAACGTGGAAATCAGGAAAAATGTTGTGGTCAGCACTAATCTATGTAGTTTATAATCTCCGATTCCTTCTCTGCCGCCATGCTTAGTACCGTCTTGGAGTTTAGAATGAACAACTGATCTTATGGTCAGAATTGTCAGCAACGCCAGAAGAGTAAAAGGAAGAAAAGACATCAGGACCATGTACACCCAAACGTAAACATCTGCACGGTAGACATCGACGCCAACGGCTGTGGACTGGCAAACAGTTATGATGTCATTTCTCCTGAGGCCGACGGTCCAGAAGGAGAAGCAGTTAAGGCAGGAGATACAGAGGAAAACGAGGAAGAGCCTCAGTCGTGTCTTCCTCACTGTGTTCCACAACATCCCGTAGAATGTGAAAGCAACACCTATAAACATCTCAAGATTGTAGGAGACAAGAATCCACGAAGACATGCTAGTGAAAGTGTATTGAATAAACACATGCAGCTTGCAGCCCACGTCAGAGATGGCCCGGATGTCAACGTTAAACATGTAATCCAACCAGACTCTTCCCAGTGCAGTAATTAGTATGATGATGTCAGTGAAAGCTAGCATTAACAGATTGAATCGTATGCATTTATTCATTTGGCGATTCAGTCGGAACATCATTACGATGACGTAACTGTTTCCCGTTGTTCCAATCAACAGTAAGCACGGCGCGACAGTCTTCCACAGCCATTCAGACACCATGTCTTCTGTATACGTCACTTCCGTTGTTAGGTTGCTAGAGTTACCGTTCCTGTTAAATCTCCTCGATGGCCAGAAGTCTTCATTCATCTTTCTCCTACGAACTGGACTTGACATTCTACAGGGGTCGTATAACACCGACTTAGGAAATTCAGGATTTTAAGGGCTACAAAATCCCGGATATGCTCAGGTAAACGGAAATATTTGCTGCATTTCAACAATCCTTTGTCACATTATACGAAGAGACAAAACAGCTGAACAATTGTTATAAAGACAAGTTTCCGTTAATGGGTACTATTACATAAGATCAGACCGATTTCTCTCCATAACATCTCCAAATTCCTTTCCTTTGGTACATCTTGGTCTTACGCTGCAAAATCTGATATGGTTATGCTCAGTAATATTCCACTGGAGTTTTTGATAGTTATTTGTGCTGAGCACCTCCATGTATACTCATGGTGTTATGTCCTGCAACATATGATATAGCACTGAGGCAAGCAATTGTTCCAACTATTCCATGGTGAAGGAGATCCGACTAGTACACTTTACACACAACAGATAGACACAGATCCTGTCATGCTCGTCTCCAAGCATGTAAACATTAGCCATGAAGAGAAATGAAGTGTAAATCCAGTCCTAGAATCTACACCAGCTCCATGTTCTTCGCCAAACGCGTTGTCAGGATCCGGATACCGTATTTTCAAGGTGCTCCAAATCTTGCGGTTTGAAGTCTCGGCCTTTATTTGTATTAGCTGAAAACTGCTAGCTTGATTTGAAAATATCACGAGCGTACGGATGAAACAACATGTGATAACTGATTGATCCTTGGACGTGCGTATCACACGCCATATCATCTATCTCTCTGACTGATACGATCTTTCCGATAGGAGCCCCGCTGTGAAGTAGCTTATCGTTGTTGTTGATATCAGCGCATACTCGTTTTAGAAAAAGGCGCAGTCTGACTCAAGTCGTTACGCACGTACAGTATCGTAATTACGTATTTCGTAACAAGGTGTCACGCGTAAGTAAATGTGCCATACATACACCTACATATTTTCTGTACTGGGTTAACAACTTTGTTAAAAATCGGGGCGGTGGGGTAGCCTAGTGGTTAAAGCGTTCGCTCGTCACGCCGAAGGCCCGGGTTCGATTCCTCACATGGGTACAGTGTGAGAAGCCCATTTCTGGTGTCCCCCGCCGTAATATTGCTGGAATATTGCTCAAAGCGGCGTAAAACCAAACTCACTCACTCACTTGTTTAAAAAAAATCATTGGGTCGTGAGTCGAAACACATGGTCGTGAGTCGAATTGAAAAAATATATGTTCACAGTTATTCAGTAGATACTCCTATACTAGTAGTGTAAATGCTGTAACAGCACCGAAGGTACGGTCTGGAAGATTAATCTCGTCCTATGTTGCTTTAATAGAGCAGACAATGCGTACTCTGCTTGCGAACACCTGATTGCCGTTGTACATCTTAGCGCTAAGGTGATCGTAACTCCCATACCTTAACATAGACTTAAGGTATAGTCCGTTTGGCTCAAAAGCGGACCGATGAATTGAAATCTAACTCGAAAACTAATAAACATAAAATACTCAATGAAACACTGATCATAATAAAAACGTCAGACCAACTCTGTGAGTTTTGTGCAGAATTTATGTCCTAAAAATAAAAAAGTTGTTTAACAAACTATCATTAAAATATTGACACAGTTCACTATTTGTTACGAGGGAGGAGTGCAGAGAAAGGGACAGCCAGGTGTGCGAGAAAGGATGGAGACGGCACAGCACAGGTTTATGAATCAATAACTTTGTCGGCACTTGTGCACGTGCTTCTCTAACACCTGGCTGTCCCTTTCTCTGGGCTTCTCCCTCGTAACAAATAGTGAACTGTGTCAATATTTTAATGATTGTTTGTTAAACAACTTTTTTGGTGGAGTCCGGAAAATTTTCATATATAAGAAAGCTGTTGGGTATTAGTAAATGATAAACATGCGTACTATTTATATTTATGAGGCAATTTTGTACAATGATAAAATTTGCAATTCATCGGTCCGTTTCTGACTCAAACGGACTGTGTAGTCTTAGCGCTACGGTTGCTTTGTACAACGACACCATTGTCTTATCACTGACTTTAAATCAACCACCCATATGATTTTTACTAACAGTTTGTTTTTGCGTCCAGTGTGTGTGCGCGTGTGCGCGCGTGCGTGCGTATGTGTGTGTGCGTGCGTGTGCGTGCGCGGGATTGCAACAGTCAACCAAGGCAACCAAGGACAGGAAAATGTCTGTGTTCTTTAACTCCGGTGTTTCATTTATAACTAACTAACTTATAACTAACTAACTAACTAACTAACTAACTAACTAACTAACTAACTAACTAACTAACTAACTAACTAACTAACTAACTAACTAACTATATATTAACAAACGACACACCAGGGGTATCACAGTTCAGCAACAGAATGTCGATTTCATCGTTGTCAGGTGATATGGTTGGCAATAGGGACAAATATGCACATAAAGCATGATGGTGATAATGGTTTTATGGATGCCATGCAACTGATACTAAGCTTAGGGATAGGTGTGGGTGAATGAGGTTTTATAGTGTTTCGGGGCGTATAATGTTATTGGAGAAAACGCCCGATGTGGAGCAGTTGATAAAACCAAAATCGAGTTTACAGGTGCCGGATCAAGGGTCATAATCAGAGAAAACATGGGATTCGAACTCACGAGAAGATGGTGTGATAAATTAAAGGATGTAGATCTGTACGTCGATGCGTGAACTGTACGGAACGCTATTCCTCATCAACGGGCATAATCGGGGAGAATAGGGGGTCCGCCACAGTGATAGTCAGTCTTCTGTGAGGTGTACGTCAGCGAGACGAGGGTTCGACTGTCCCAAATTCAATTTATCTCAAATCAATTCAGGAAAATAAGGGCTAGAACCCAGAAAAAACACAGCTAGCCTGGTAGATCGAATAATTATTGTAGCTTGTCAGTGATTAAACCATACTCAATTCATCCCCGTGGGTAGTGTCAGAGGAGTGTTCTGATTCGACCCCAGAACTAACACAATCTGTTTCATTAAGAGTGTACCCGTGACGTTCCGGGTTAGAATTGATTTTCAGCTACGCATGCTTGTCGTAAGAGGTCAATAACGGGATCGGGTGGTCAGGCTCGCTGACTTGGTTGACACGTCATCGTATTACAAAATGCGTAGACCGATGTTCATGCTGTTGATCACAAGATTGTCTGGTCCAGACTCGAATATTTACAGAACGCCGATATATAGCTGGAATATTGTAGAGTGCAGTCCTAAACAAAAACACAACCAACCCAACAAGAATACCCTGACTGTTTCTCCAACAGATGCTAGTTTCTCTCATTATCATACGCGCAGCGTGATATGTAATGTCGCCAGGGTGTTTGAGTAACATTTCCTTTACTTCGTTATGAAATTCCATATTTATGAAAAACAGTTGATATTTTACATTTCAGCTACAGTCTACCTTGGTCTTACGAACCATGTCTCCGTTTAATGTTCACTTAAAATATAAAAACATTTTCCTAAATTTTCCTCGTTTATAATGGCAAGGAGGATTTACAAGGGTTTCAACTTACACTCAGATTGAGACATACTCCTGGACGGAATGAACAATATGCCGATGACCAGATAGCCCCACGCGTAATCTAATTGCCCACGACTTGCCTCCATTGAGACTGGAGGATCTCATAAAGCAAGTATTTATTACTTTATCGTCTTCATCACCATTACTACAGACGAGGTAATAAGAACCTCATATTTCAAGAACATATGACTGTCTGTACCTCCCATCACCCTGGTACTTGTGCTTTAACCCCTGGATCAACATCAAGATCGGAGACTCAAGCAGAGAGAGGTGTTGGGTTTCATAAGAGGAAAGCGATAGCCTTCTCGGGTGGGCGGCCGAGCCGTCGGAACAATGCTCCATACACACACATATTTTTGTAAGAAGGGGGGCTTAACAGGAATTTTAATTGTCATGACGTGTCACAATCGTCTATTTAGTCCACCACAATGATTGTCGTTATAGTTTAACATTCCTTAGAGAGCAAAGAAATAAGCCTTTCTTCCAGAATTCGATCTGTTGCCATCGAGAACAAAAAGGTCGTCATCGTAGATCCTCCGATCCGTCTTGTAAAACAGGAGCCTGGCCATCCAAGCTTATGTTGCCCCTTAATATCACACTTAATATCCAAGGGAGCCCCTTTCAATGCGTCCGTTGTAGGCCATTACGACCGAACGATCATCAACAAACGGTGTACGTGGATAGCGTGTCGGGTCGACTCTAGACGGTGAGGACTGACATAGCGGCTAGAAAGTCACGTGACGGATGTTGTTGATGTCAAGGAGCTCGGATAACAGGTACACGGTACGCCATGACGAAACCAGACAAGCCTGCAGGTTGCATATGTACGAAAACCTAATGGTGCCATAATTGTGGCATAAAATATTTTTTCAGCATAATTTCTCTTTGCTTCGATTATTGTGTGTGATTAAGAGTATTTTCTCCTTATTTATATCATTTTCTTATTACTTCAAATATTTATTCGTTCCTTCAAGTTTCGAGTAATTTCTCGCTGCTTCGATTGTCATAATAGACAAACTTTATGGATAACAACTTCTTGCACTATTGTCAGCATTTTCCTGCTTTACAACAGTACAAATATCTGTATCAAAACGTCGCACTCACGAAATAAAAGAAGTTCTATTATTTTCTCGTCATTTCAAATATTTTCTTGAAATTTCGAGTATTTTTCTCGCTGCTTCAGTTATTATCACGTTACTTCATGTTTCATTAAAAAACTTGCAATTTCGATTTATTTCTCGTTACTTTAAATATTTTCTTGTTACCTTAAGTTTCTTTAAAAAACTCGAGATGTCACATTTTAAACTTGAAGCAACGAGAAAATACTCGAAGAAACGAGAAATTAATAAAAGCAGCGAGAAAATAATTGAAATTGAAAGAAAACCCTCCCAAGCACTGACAAAACTTTGGCTGAAAAAATGTATGCTACAAAAGTGGTTGCAATAGGCTTCCGTACATTTGTGATCGCTCCTTACATGGCTGCCGTTTGTATATGAACAGTTAGGCTTGCAGCAGGTTATTACACACGCGTGAGTGAAGTACTGAAGGCGGACGCAGAACTTGATACCTTTGTAACATGCAACCTTGTCTACATGAGTGAAATACACAGAAAAAGCCCTAAAGCTCAAGACAATTTACATATTTTACAAATACACGTTTATAAGTTGAATAGGTCATCACTGAATTTTCCGAATGAAAATAAAACATGACGAGTATGAAATAATTTCCTATTAAACGGTATGAGATCAGGTTAAAGTGTCAACGGTATAACATCTTTCAGAACGTCAAATTTGCTATTAACGCGGTCGTCATGGCAAGTGCATAAATATAATATGACAGCGCGTCTTGTCTAGGGGTTCATAGGGGTTGCCATTAATTGCGTGTATCCGCTTGGCAAGGTTTCACTATTTATGTATGAGTGAGTGATGAATTGTACGACGTTTTAGCAGCATTCATGCACTATCAAGTCGAAAGACACCAAACGTACCCATATTGGGAATCGAACCCGGGTAGTCGGCGAGATGAACAAAAGCTTCAACCACTATAGGCTACTCCGCTTATATAATGTCAGTATAACTTTCAAAAATACTGCAGAAACAAAAACGGATTATGTTTTGAGCAATCTCATCCTTCTGTCTTCTCATGTTAAATAACTTCAAGCCAAGCAA